CCAGCCTCTGAAATGAACTGTCACTCATTTCACACCTGTACTAAACTGACATAATGCTAACTGGCAGTGTGCTAACATCCCAAATTGCCACCAAACTAGTTAGCTCAGCAGAAGAATTCTCCCTCTGATTCCACTTGCAGTGCTCCCCACCTGCTGCCAGGGAACCTGTCAATACAATGCAAGGTTATAGTGCTGACCAAGCTAGGAGTTCCAGTATGTTGGGGTATGCGGTGCAAGCCACGTAGAACAAACTAAGTAGGCAATGCTTCGTTTATCTGTCATAGGCCATGTCCACTTTAAGCAGCCAGGGTGGAAGAAGAAGTAGCAGCTGGAACCACTGAGAAATGAAATCAGTGGGGAACTAAGACTAAATGTCACATTAAAAAAGAATAGAATTATTCATAGACATTTGAATATGGGGGTAAGTGGCATCTAAGAACAGAATGATTGATTCAGGTGATGAGGGATGCATTAACTATAGCTAGGAATGGGCCATTAGGGAGCCGTGTATATTAGTTGAGGTGGAGAGGAAAGTGATGGCTAAGTGCAGCAAAGGAACAAGAATATAGGAACCACTAGACTTGGGGAAACTGACCATAAAATTTAAAGTTCATCTTATTGATAGTCCCCGTCACAATTTCAGTGCTTTTTGTTTGTGAAATTAGCTTTTGTTTACAGTAGCACATTGTCCACGCTGTCAGAATCCAGTGCGACAGAAAGGTATTGTAGCAATTCATATAGTACATTTTTACAAGAGACTTTCATGCACTCGTGTAGTGATATAAACATAAAGCTGAAAAACTCTGGCTCTCCTGCTGCTCACATCATCTGGTACCATTGGTAGTATTTTGTGAACTAAAAATAATTTCAATTGTATTTAACTAGCTGGGCCAAAAATGGAAATACAAATACAAATCTTGTCTAATGGTGTTTTGGCTGGATCTGAATCCTCGCATATGAAATTACCACTGTTTGCTTCTGGGTTGGCTTTGCTCCTTGAAAGGGATTATTTGGAAATCTATGTTCCAACTAGGGGTCAGATAAGTCTCAGTATTGTGAGTTTTATTAGATAACCACTGTATGTGTATTGCTGTAACACCCAACACGAAAGCCCATTTATAATTAAAAAAAGAGAAGGCAAACAGCAACTGGCAACCAAAATGCCTGAGAAATGTTTCCTTGCTTTAACAATCAGCTTATGTAAAATAAAAACAAACTTGCTCCTTTTTACTTATGAGTGGTGTGGAGAGGGCCGATAAAGAAAAGTTATTTATTAGTTCCCTAAATAGAAGAACTAGAGGACACCAAATGAAATTAATGGGCAGCAGGTTTGAAACTAATAAAAGAAAGTTCTTCTTCACACAGCGTGTAGTCAACCTGTGGAATTCCTTGCCAGAGGAGGCTGTGAAGGCTAGGACTATAACAGAGTTTAAAGAGAAGCTAGATAATTTCACGGAGGTTAGGTCCATAAAAAGCTATTAACCAGGGGATAAAATAGTGTCCTTGACCTCTGTTTGTCAGAGGTTGGAGAGGGATGGCAGGGGACAAATCACTTGATCATTGTCTTCGGTCCACCCTCTCTGGGGCACCTGGTGCTGGCCACTGTCGGCAGACAGGATACTGGGCTAGATGGACCTTTGGTTTGACCCAGTATGGACGTTCTTATGTTCTTATGTTATTTATCTCCTCTCATAACGGATGATATCTTTTCTCTCTTACTTTGAACCAAAATCTTGTCTATCCAGAATTTTTGTCCCCCTCTCTCCCCGAGGGACATATTCCAGAGACCAGACACCACTTTCTCAGAAAGAGAATTCTAAGAGATAAAGTCAAAGCATGTGAACATGAGCTGACCTTGATGATTTCATGTTTTTTATTCCTTTCCCAGAGAGTCTTCAAGGCCTTTTTCAAACCATACACCATGAAGGTAGTGGGATAGGGGCAGTTCTTCTGCCCACATAGCTGGGAGGCATGGGGAAATCCTGCTGAGACTACCTGAAGACAAATTCAAATCAAGTACCTGAAGTCAAGTTCAAGGTCTCATTCTTTATCTGATTATTTAAAACAGTCCCTACATCTCCACCATGAAGACTGTGGTTGACAAGATCCACTCTCAGGCAGAAAGGAATTTTTCACTGTAAGGATCAAGTTCATGAGAAGGAGAAAGTGCTTTCTCAACAGCTGTTCTGAGACATGGGAATGAACTCCCATGGAAACTAAGGATTATAGCAAACTTCCACACTACATACCCAACCCCAGGGTGATAACAGAATAATTGTCTTTAATGTGTGCAATGCCACACACACAAACAGCTAATGATCTATAGTGATAAGAAAACCCTCACAAAGGTAGGCAGCCCCACAAATGTGTACTAATGTTTCCTTTTGCATTTCCAGGAGTTTTACAAGGTGTGAAGGTGGCTCTGGGCTCAGGTAGATGTCATCCTCTGTCTGTGTGCACATAAGGGAACTCTGATTTCCCTTACCTGCTGGGAACCAGGAGCAGTGTGAATGTGGATGGAATCTGGCTGTCCGTACAGAGTGTGTAAACCAGACATGTCCTAAGCCTAACCAGTATGGAAACAGCCTCCATTACCCTGATGGATGGTTTGGAAAGTGCAACAGCCAATGATTACTTGAACTATGTTTGCCACACTGGCATCCAAATGCATGTATAGGCAATACCAATAAAGGTTGTAACTGAATTCCCTTTTTCCAGGATCACTGACTTTGGGGTATGTTTTCATGAGTCAAGGCAGGAACAGGCATGCAAAGTTCCCGCAAACGAAAGTGGGTGTAGACACCATACAGAATCATGTAATTCCTGGAAATTAAGTCCTTTCAAGTACAACCCTGATCTCCTCGTTGCTCTGGCATCGGGAACCTTTCCAATGTTTTCCTGTGTTAGTATTTATGATTCTGCTTCTGTCATCCACTAAGCCTTGCACAATGAGCAAATAGCAACCTTTTCAGTTCTGTTACTCATTTTCCCCTTGGGGTGGGCAAAGTGAGGAGGATAGGGACCAATACTGGAACACACAGTTCTTGGAAACCCCGTGCCTTGCAAACATGCACAACTATTACCTTGAGAGTAGGCTTTCCAGACAGAGTGTAGGTTGCAATAGACCAACAGTTGTCTGCTGTAGCCAGGGACAATAGCAGCCTGCTTCTAAATCAGTACAGCTCCCCTGGATCAAGTGTTCTGGCACTGAAGGGTTATGGCAAGCTCATCAGACAGTCCCATGAAGATCTGTTTTCTCATTCAGAAATTAGGGGGAGGGATAGCTCAGTGGTTTGAGCGGTAGCCTGCTCCTGTTTTCTCATTCAGCAATTAGGAGGAGGGATAGCTCGGTGGTTTGAGCTGTAGCCTGCTAAACCCAGAGTTGTGAGTTCAATCCTTGCAAAGGATTTGTGGCAAAAATTTGTCAGGGAGGGCTTTTAGGGGTTTGGGGCAAAAATTTGTCAGGGCTGGTACTTGGTGCTGCTGTGATGGTAGGAGACTAGACTTGATGACCTTTCAAGGTCCCTTCCAATTCTACAAGATAGGCAAGCTCCATTAATTTAAAATTTGCACTAAGCTCCAGATGTCTCAGGTTCAAATCCACCTGGTGGTGGTTATAAAGGCTTACTTTATAACAATTATAGGTGAAACCTTGGTCCCATTGAAGTATATGACAAAACCCTCATTGAGGTCTAGCTTTTACTATTACTTTTATGGAAGTTGGATTAGGCATTTGAGCAATGGGCAATGTCTACACTCTTATTCATGGACAAATGATTTCTCCCCGTTTTCTTTCTAAATGCTTTCTTCCCATCATGGTTGCCTATTTAACAATTGGCTCAGACTATGATCAGTCAGATTTCTCCAAGGCCACAATTAACACCACTCCACAATGCTTTCTTATTGGGCAATCTTTGAAAAGCACATCTGTCTGATATGTGACTGCTGCAGCTTTCTCAGCTGTTATCAACCCAGGGACACTTATCCCCAGGCAGGTGTTAAATCTTAGTTGCCCTACATGAGTGCAACAAACCAGCAGACCTGTCAAATTTAATCTTGGCATTGTATTTTAAATACTACTGAAATGTACCATTGGGGGGAGGAAGGGATCAAGCACGACACTGAACGGTTGTGAGATTTCTTCCTATTGCCTAGATTTATTTACTGCATACATATGAATAACAAATGTTTTATACTTTATTTATACTATTACGTCTGCCAGATTAATTGCCTATAGACATTTTATACACATAGTCCAGTAAATGGCTGAAGAAATTTCAGTGATGCATCAATACTGACAGACAGCAATGGGAAAAATAAAGCAAAAGATGCCATGTTTAAAAGGGACTTTTCTTTAAAATCTGGAATTAGCGATCTAGTGAAATAAAATTACCCCTTGTTATTAACTCTTCAGCTGTCTCGATGAGTACTTTAATGTTTGCCTAGTGAGTGCAGACAGGGGACCTACACATGGTCTCAGCACTGGGTTTAACTCTTTTCTGAAGGAGCCGATCAAAGAGCTGCAGTCGTTTCCAGAGAGAAACTTGATAGGCGGCTTGAGAGCCAGCCCAGCACTTAATCGTCTGTTTCCTCGGCGGCTGCCCTGTCTTCTGAAAGTAGCATCCATTTGTTGCAATCCTCTATTCATTTCATTTTCCTTTCGGGAAACCCTCTTAGACAACGACGGCCCCTCCTTGCCCGTTTTCTGCAATGCACAGCGTCAGCTGGCAGGGAAGTCTCTTTTGCAAACTCCGTTTGCGGGCTTTCTCCAGCAAGCCTCCAGAAAGGTGTTCCCACCTCCCGCAGACAGCACAGCGGCCTCTGATTTCCCATCCCCGCGTCTCTTGCAACATGCGGCAACACACCAGGATCCTATTGGATTAATGCACACGCAAGATAATTGCAGGATCTGATTGGGGCGGGAGGGGGGAGCAGGGAAAAAAACCCCAACCCCTCGCTTGCCAGACCCCTCCCGAGGGGGTTGCCTGGATCATTTATTTATCTTGTGCGCATTAAGAAACCACCATTAGACTGTGGTGGGAGGCGCTTTACTTTCGGAGCGCCAGCCTGCCTCGTTCGCACGCACAGGCGAAGTGGAGCAGCCGGCCGGATCGGTCTAGCCGGAGCGCTCGCGGGGGGTGTGCTCGCTGCAGGCTCTTCGCTGGCATTGGATCTGCCCGTAACGCCGATTGCCCCAGCCTGGCCGGAGTGGGACTGCCGCTCGGACCTGGGCGCCGCGGAGCCGCGGCGTGGAGGAGAAGGAGCGAGGCCGCTGTGTCTCCTTCCCCTCCGCTCTGCCTTCGGATTGGTCTCTCTCCTAAAGTGCTGTCCAAGGGTTGGCTGCAGGGCTGCTGAATAACAGGTGCGTTTGGCTGCTCCGTCGCCTCGCCAAGCGGCAGCCGAGGAACGCGGGTGCCTCTGCGCCGGGGCTAAGGCGGAGCAGAGCGGGGGGGGGCCGGCTGGGAGCCCGACCCAGGCGGAGCCGAGCGGGGCCGCCCGTGCGCAGGAATGTGGCTCATCCCCGGGCGCTTGGCGTGACCCGCTCCGCGAGCGGATCCCGGCGACTCCTGCGGAGCGGAGCGGGCGCCGGGCGAGAAGGATGCTCAGAGCGCGGCGGCTCGGGGCTGGGGCCAGCCCGGGGATGTAGCGGATTCCGCAGCTGCTCGCGGAGATTGCCTGAGGAGCCGGGGGGGTTCCTGGGGCTGGAGACATGTCCCCTGACTGACTGGGGCTGGGAGAGCTTTGCCCCTCCCCTCCCCCTTCCCGGCTCTGCCTCTTCCCGGCCCGCCTGCCCGCATGCTGCGCGCCCCGGCAGCAGCGTCTCCCTGATGCCTGGTCTTCCCCCCCGAGGGGGGGAAAGGCGCCTAGGATGAGCGAAGGGGCTGCCTGCGCCTCCCCACCTGGTGCTGCTGCGGCAGAGGAGTGGGCTGCGGCGGCGGGGGGCCCGGACGGGGATGGGGCCCCCGGACCCCCGCGGGAGCTGCGCTGTAGCGACTGCATCGTCTGGACCCGGCAGCAGACGTGGCTGTGCGTGGTGCCGCTCTTCATCGGCTTCATCGGCCTGGGGCTCAGCCTCATGCTGCTCAAGTGGATCGTGGTGGGCTCCGTCAAGGAGTACGTCCCCACCGAGGTGATCGATTCCAAGGGGATGGGCCAGGGCCCCTTCTTCCTCTCCAAGCCCACCACCCCGCCCAAGAGCCTGGAGACCACCACCGCCACCACGTCCCGGACGCCCAACCGGATAAGCACCCGCTTCACCACCATGACGCGGGCCCCCACCCGCTTCCCGGGCACCCGGGTCCCCATCCGGGCGAGCCCCCGATCCACCACTGTGCGCCATACAGCTGCCCCCGCGACCAGCCTCTCCACCACCGTCCCCTTCAGCACCACCATCCTGACCTCCCGCCCGCTGCCCGGGACCCCCAGCACCCAGCCAATGCCCATCTGGCCCACTGCGGCATACGCTACCTCCTCCTACAAGATCTATGTCCACGACTCTGCTCCATCCTGGACCTTATCTCCCTTCCAGGAGTCCACCACCACCACGCCAGAAACTAGCACAAGTCCCAAATTCCGTAAGTACGGCGCAAGCTGCCTTGCCTTCGGGCACCCCCTACCCACCACACCCCCCGCTCGGGTCAGCCTTGGCTTGCGTTTCAGAGCCACGCTGGTGCTGGTGCTAGTTTGGATGCGGATGGCTAGTACCGTAGGCAGCCATAGGGTAGCGTGCAATTCCGGAGGCTGCAGAAATGCTGGGAAGCTCTTGGATTAAGTTTCTGCCCCCCTTCCCCGCAATTTATCTCCCCTCCCCGGCCAGTTCCCTCCTTGTGTGGTGGATGTTCACAGCGGTTTGAGGTGGAGGCGTCTCACTATGTGTGATAGGGACTTAGCCTTGCTCAGGGAGGGCTGTTGAGAGCCCAGTGGTCTGGAGGAGAGGTGAGGAGCCCACGTTTGTTAGTGGCTCTGGAGCAAAGGCGCTGCTTGTGTGGGCTGGAGTGACCTGGTAGGCTGCTTAGGGTGACCTGGTAGGCTGCTGGGGGGCGAAGGTCTGGTTGACAATGTGAGTTTCTTCTAGCCAGCCAGGCAATCGTGTTTCCCTTTCAAACCAATCTAAAATGTGCTCCGACCCGAGCTCCCTTTCCCTGCTGCCCGGCTGTGGAAAATCCCCTTAGCCAGCGCTGTCTGAGAGGGGCAGGAGCCCACCTCAAGAATATGCAGAAACACCCAGAGCCATGAATATGCAGAAACACCCAGAGCCGATCCAGTCCCGTCTATTTGTTCTGTGCCACCCGCCACCTCGGCAGATTCCTGCCACCGCCGACTGGCGCTGGGAAAGGGCTCTGGTTCCTGTCTCTGGATGGGGCTGGGTGCCTGTCTCTTCTGATCGCAAAGCTCCGGATTCTGGTTTCAGTGGGAAATGCATTTGGATCGGGCCCCCTCCCTGCCTCCTGTGAAGGTTATCTAGGACGTACTGAAGCCAGCGGAACTTCTGGGCAGGGCCGCTTAGTAGAACGATGAATTGTACCGTATTAGAGTCTCGCCAGTTTGCTTGGATACAGGCTAGGAAACGAGGCGCCGTGTGCCCCCCATTAGGGGCTTCTGCCAGCCACGTCAATTCAATTGAACGTTATCAGCCGAATCGCTTCCATAGCCCGTGGCTCCCCGGTTTGCATGCTAATCTGCGGTTGTTCCGCTGGAGGATTTGGTTAGTTAGTCATTTAAACTTTTTTTTCCCCATTACATCTATTTGCTGATAAGCCCCGGGATAAAGAGTCCATATGCACAGCAAACTGATGCCGCGCATTGGCGAACCAGGCAAAAGAACGGGGAATCAGAAATGGGGAGGGGGGGGGGCGCACAGCTGTCACTAAATCAGCCTGGCAAACAAGGCAATAACTCGCTTCTCCAGCCTTTGGCCAAGGTAAACGAGGGGGAACCTTCCCTGCAAGGTGCATCTGGCATGAGGCAGTGGGCTGGGTACAGTCAGGAAAACCGTTTGTGCCGCTCTGCTTCTCACGTCTGTATGTGAAGCGGCATCTGAAACACGCATCTTTGGGCTCTTCCGTTTCTCCCAAGGGTGCCTGATTTTCATCCCATGCGCCTGTGTTCCAACCTTGGCTAACGCAACAAGGCTGCGTGGCTTTTTGTCAAACTGCATTGACTTCTGTGGGGCTGAAATGCTGCACCTTGGCTCCGGGCTTGTTGGAGAGGATCCTGCTAGTCTTGCAATGCTACCGTGCCATTTTACAGCCCATTGCAAGCGCGCGGTGCCATCCTTTGGGGGTCTTTACAGAGAAATCCACTGCAGTTTCCGTTCCTCCACACTGTCTCCCTACGAAGCACTACAGCGAACACAATCCTGATTCATAAATAAATGATTAGCTGGAAGGGCCAGTCCAAACCAAGGCAAAACAAAATCGTGCTGGTCGGAGCAGTCACGCAAATGTATAAGCAATATAGGTCTCTCTAGATTGCTAAAACCAGGTAGATCAGGGTGGTTCCCCTCATTAAATGCCACTCCCTTATTGGATGACATGGAAGAAGTGCAAATCCGGCAGAAATTGACCCTGTTGGAGTACATTGATAGCAGAGATTATTATTAACGGAAGATTAAATAGATTACAATAAAAAGGATTTGAATTTATAGGGCGTGTGGATATTTTTAAGCCCTCAGCTTTGCATACTCGTTCGCTGAGGTTGCAATATAAACTGGGGAGAAGGAAATGTAATCTCTTTCATGAACTACTGACATCGTGTGACCCTATGACCCAATATCTGCATTTTTTCCCTTGCTTTGATTGTGATTAACAGGTCTTGTGAGAAAAGGAAGTCTCTTTTCTCTCTTTTTTTTAAATTCGGCTTCAGTTTCCAGGTGGAGCTGTCTTTTCTTTCTCTGCCCATTGCCTCAGCTGCTATTAAAATGAAAGTCATGGGTCCTGTTGTATTGTGTGAATACAAATGTGATATGACAAGGCTGATGCTCTGGCTTTCAAGACAAGTGCAGACCCTTGTTTGATCCTTTGCCTTGGTAAGGCACATGTGTAGGCAGAGGTCATAGATCATTTAGCATTTCACAGTTTACAAGAGGAGCTTTGTCTAGATTGTTCTATGTTGCATTTTATTACATTGTTTCAAGAAGGGATAATTGGAAGGCAAATCTGGAGTTATTTGTTCAGAAAGATAGATTTATATCCATTTTGTGTCAGTGTTGGGGGGAATTATCTTTGTGGGGGGGAGGTGTTTATCGTCATAGATATCAGGATATCTTCCTGTTTGATTTTCATCCTACATACCTAAAAAAGTCTTGGTTCAGTTTTGCTTATAGACAACTTACTATTTGCTGTTTTGAAAGCTCTTGATGAAAATTCTCCAGGTTCTGACCAAGCAAAAGCTAGTTGCTTATCAGTTCACGAAAAGCCAGTCATTAATCTAGAATTACCACCTAGCGTGGGGATAAAGGGAATCTACCTACTAACTGAAACCTCCACGAGGCTTCATTTTCAAACCGTGGTTTCACGTCTAAATCATGCCCTGATTTTTTTCATTACGCATTTTCTTGGTATTCTGGGTCCTTTAGAAATGCTATGATGCAAACATTGAGATGTTGTACTTGACATTATTCATGTATGGATTCAGCTATGCAATGAGATGTTGCTTCCTCGTGCATCCCTACATCAAGAAGCTCAGTCAGGCTGCCTGGGTACATATAGTGCATAACAGCCAAGAGGAGAGATGTTACAGAACTCCTAATCAATAGCTTTTGTGAAATCCAATTGAGAGCTCTTTTTTTTTAATCTGTGCAGACTGAAACCAGAGAATATTTTGATTTCTATTGATTTTAGTATAGGATTATAAGACTGTTCCTGCTTTAATTCAGTATGCAAACTATGTTCTTTATCTGCTTATTTTGCACAACATGGTTTCAAAATATAAGCTTAGCACTTGAACTAAAACTGCTGGTTTTATTTCACAATGGATCAAATATTTTTTTCCACATTAAGGATAGCATTCGATAAACGGCACAGGAGGCTTTTACGAAGGACATTCCATGGGAACATTCTCTCACTGCTGTAAGAGGTGCCAAATCTTTATGAAATGTGATCAGCTCTTTTCACAGCTCAGAAATCTTCTACCAACACATACCTTGATTCTTCAAACTCTTACCTATGCTCTTAACTTTATTATCCTAGCTATCCCTGAAATCAATGGGATTACCCTTGGTAGTAAAGTTAAGCAGGCTCACAAGTGTTTGCAGGATCAGGCTCTTACTTTATTATCCAGGTTGCAATGCACTGAGAACTGATGAAACAGAAGAAGAAAAGTAAACTATAAAGAGCCTGAAAGGTAGCTGCTTCCTCTACCCCTTTTACATACATCCACCCAACTTTTGTTTTCCCCCATCTACAATAACTAAAGTAAATAAAGAGATTGTGTGGAACTAAAACCCATGCATTTCAAAATTACCAAGCCTCCAACTAATAAAGGAGAGTAATTAAAATTAATTTGATTTTCACCAGTTTATGAAGCCTTGTTGCTTTTTGCATTTCAATCAGGTTGGACAGTGGCACCAGACTTCATTTCATTTTCTATTTGTAGGCAATTTTCATTTCTGGTGGTCATGGACTAGCACATTGTCACTGTGTCTGAGGTCGAATAGCCTGCAGCTGAAGGTTTAAATAAAAATATATATATAGCAACATATTAGTATTTAAAATTTAATAAATTATAGCTTTACACTTAAACTTAGAAGCTATATAGAGTGTTTGATGTTGACAATCCATATAAAACAGTGATCAATTATAAAGCATTTAGGTGTTGCCCTTGAATACCATAAGAATATAAGTTTGTATCTTTCTTATTATTTAACCATGTATTATAGTAATGGATAGTAAGTTAACATGTAATTGTGTCCAACTGGAATGGTTTTAAATGGTTGCAAATTAGATATACTATAGTATACTATACTCAAGTCTTTACCAAAGGTTATTGGAATCCCAAGATAGAGGAAGAATGCAGTAACAACTGAGCAGTACACACAGAATGAAAAACAGATGACTTATTTCCTGTAGAAATTGTTTAGATTCATAAGTCAAACTATTGACTGGTTTCATTCAGAATTAGTACAGTATATTTCAACCAATAATCCTAATTATCAAATAAAAGGGACCTTAATGTTTCAAATTCTTATGCTGCCTTTTAAGATTGAAGGACATACTGTTTGGGGGAAAGGCTGCAAGGCTATTCATTGAGAACATATAATCTGTGATCTTTGGTAGAAATGAACTTTTTTTAGAATAAATGTCATTAGCAACTGTACAAGGAGAGTATTTGATAAATGTTGATGACAACATAATGTTGTTAGTGTTATCATGCCACAAAATATTACCCCTAGAATGATTAATGGTAATAGTCTGTCCAAACCCCCCACAGAACATACAAGTTCAAGATTAAAGCAGAAAAGATCTGTCTCTGCCCACATTATTGGGTCTAGCTGTTGGAGCACGTATTTGACTTTACAGCATGTCACCCACCATTCAGAGACCTGCTGAAATACCCCAATATATAGGTGTTCTTA